TAGAGACCTTTGCATGAAATGTTATAAATTAGATCCTGCTTGGTACTATACTTCACCAGGATTAGCTTGGGATGCTGCATTGAAAGAAACAAAAATAAAATTAGAGTTGCTAAGTAATTATGATATGATCTTAATGATAAAGCAAGGAATAAGAGGTGAGATTAGCATGATTTCAAACAGGCTAGGAACTGCTAATAATAAATATATGGAAACATATGATAAAAGTAAATAATCTATTTACATACAGTATTTAGATGCAAATAATTTATATGGATGGGCTATGAGTAAACCTCTTCCAACACATGGCTTTCAATGGATGAGTGAGGAAGAGTTAAAAAATTGGAGATCTACTTCATGTATATTAGAAGTAGACTTAAAATATCTTCAACACTTACATGATGCTTATAATGATTATCCACTTGCACCTGAAAGATTAAAAATAGACAAAGTTGAAAAATTAGTACCCAATTTGAATCACAAGAAAAACTATACCATTCACTATGAAAACTTGAAATTATATGAAAGATTAGGATTGAAATTTACTAAAATTCATAGAGGAATAAAGTTTGAAGAGAGTGCATGGTTAAGTAAGTACATTGAACTAAATACAAAACTAAGAATTGAAGCAACGAATAATAAGAACAAGTTTGAAAAATTTTAAACTTATTAATAACTCAGTATTTGTAAAAACAATGTAGAGCATTGAAAACAGAGTTGATGTCAGATTATTAACTAAAAGAGAAGAAGCTATTAAATTAGCATCTAAACCCAACTATTAAAGTAAAACTATGTTTGATGAAAACTTAATATAAAAATCCATATAAAAAAAACAAAATTATTATATAACAAACCAATTTACTTAGGTATGTGCATTTTAGATTTGAGTAAGATATTAATGTACGAATTTTACTATGATTACATAAAAAAATAAATATTCAGATAAGGCTAAACTGTTATTCACAGAGACAGATTCTTTAGCATAGGAAATAAAAACAGAAGACTTTTATGTAGATATTGCAAACGATTTTGAAAGTAAATTTGATACAAGTAAATTTGACAAAAACCATCTATCCACTATTAATGGTTTTAAAGCAGGTGAGAATATGCTAAAAATAGAAATGTTTAAAGGAGCCCAAAAGGAGCCCAAATTGAAGAACTTGTAGGCCTAAGATCAAAATTGTATTCATACAAAATAAATGGAGAAGATAAATAGAGATGTAAGGGAGTAAAAAGAAATGTGATTAAAAAATATATAATATATAAAATATATAATATAATGAAGTATAATATAATATGAAGTATAATATAAATGAAGTATAATAAAACATATAATATAAAGAAATAATATATAATATAATAAATATAAAATATATAATATAATGAAGATTATAAAAATTGCCTTATGAATAGAAAAGATCAAATGAGAAAAATGAATGTCATAAGATCTCATTTACATGAAGTTTATACAGAAGAAATAAACAAAATAGCATTTAGCGTAGAAGATGACAAAAGATTTATTTTAAAAAATGGAATTCATACATTGGCGTATGGCCATTATAAAAATTAGAAACCCAACTTTTCATTTCAAAAGATTGATAAAAGAGAAACCCAACTTTTCATTTCAGATTGATTAGAAATAAACAGACAGGCAGGCAGGCACAATAAGATAAAAAACAGGTAAATAAATTTTTAAAAATCATTCAAAAAAATCTCAAACTATTAATAAAAATGGACAAAAGAATCAATGTTGAAAGAATAATTTTACCTAATGAACCGCTAACAAACTTTCAATTAACAAAATCAGCAAAAAAATTAAAAATTTTAGAGGTGTATTTGAAAGAGATGAGTTACCAAAAAATACACAAAAAAAGAATGTGGAATATCAAATATTGGAGATTCAAGTACGAATGGATTTCATTGGATTTGCTGGTATAAAGATGGAGATAAGAAACTAAGTTTCAACTCTTATGCACTACAACCTCTACTTGAACTCGTTCATTATTTACACAGTCCTGTTTACTATAATAGTGAAAGAATTCAGTTTGGAGATACTTCATTTTGCGGACACTTGTGTCCATATGTTTTAAAAAAACTAAATGAAGGAAATGATTTTCAAAGTATCATCAATTCACTTTGGTAAAAACAATATAAATAAAAATAATGAATACAAAATAAATGTTGATGTGTTCGGTAATAGTACAATTAGTGGGCTATCTGCTTTTGGTAGCACAGCAGATGGTATAAATATTAATACTAATGTAGACAATAAAGCAACTTCTGACATTAATTTAGATTCACATAAAATAATCAATTAAGCAGATCCTACTGACTTACAAGATGCTGCTACAAACCATTATGTAAATAATAATAAAACTCCTAGTAGTTTGTATATTAGAACAGATGGACAAAATAGTGCGACTGCTAACATTAATTTAAATACAAATAAAATAATCAATGTAGCAGATCCTACTAATGCACAGGATGCAGCTACTAAGCATTATGTAGATACTGCACAAACTCCTAGTAGTCTGTATATTAGAACAGATGGTCAGAATCCTGCAATCGCTGACATTAATTTAAATACAAATAAACTCATCAATGTAGCTGATCCCACTCAACCTCAAGATGCTGTTACAAATAGCTACGTTGATAATATACAAAATCAAAGTTTAGATATTATTCCAAATATAAGTTTGACATGTTTTGGACAAAAATCTCAAGCATTCTATGCAACTCCAGGATCAAACACTATTTTTAGCTATAGTGGTAGTTCAGGATTTCTAAGGAAATTGTGGGTTGCGGTTACAGGAACAACGAGTGGTAATGTTACTACTGTCCCTTGTAACTTGTTTTTAAAAATATATGCTGATAATGTACTTTGCATAGGTAATGATTCTATTGTAACAGATGGTGTAGGTATTATTAATATAGCTTTAGCTTGTGATTTATTATTTGCACCACCTGGTGGACCCTATTACACAAACTCTTTACAAGGATGTAGTGTATCTAGTACTAGTGCATAAGGAGGATATTACATTCGATCTTCCCTTCACATCAAGTTTGTAAATACAGTTATACAATAAAACAGGTAATTCAGTGACCTTTTGGTTACAACCTTTTATCACAAGAATTTTATCGTTGCAACTAACATTAACTAGTATTAATCCGCTAATACCTCGATCCATCTCATCCATTAAGTTGTACTCATCAACATTTAGATATGTAAATACAACTTATGGAAATGAATACATGTTGATGAACGCTATGGATAATGGAAACGGTATTCATTTAAAATATATTAGAATGCATGTCATTGGAGGATCTGAAAACTGGTGGGAATCTAGAGTACGTACATGCAATGGATACGGACCCCCTACAAATACAAACTCAGTTGTTCAACCTTGGACACCCTATAATAATAACGGATATACATTTTCTGGATATGATGTTAACAGTTGATGCATCTACGCTTCATCAGGTTTAGAAGATTTTTATCTCTCTTCATGGAAGGGATTGAATGTAAGCTCATTTAATAATACATCATCAGGATTGTTGAATCAATCAAGTATTGTAATTGGTCCGACAACTACAATTTCATTTTATAGAAACTTTGATTCATCTAAAAGTATGCCTAGCGTTGGTAATGGTAGAAGAATGGTAGTGACACTCAACTCTGGTGACATACAAGTTGGACAATCTGGAAGCTTTTCTGCATTAATAGGACAATGCTACTATTATGCGTAATAAATTAGGTGCATGCGCACTGACAAGTCACGTGACCGATGACGTCACACACAAAAATTCGCAAATGCAAGAAAAAAAATTAGCATTAATTTGAAACTAATTTTAAAATTTAAAAAAATTGATTTAAAAATTGATTTCTTAATTATTCAATTTATACACACATTAGATGACATTGCACCATAAATTTAATTAAATTTATGGTTAAAATATGGTCAAAAATGAAAATAAGGCAGAACTGTCATCTTCCTACTACTTGTATACATGAATTAAAGCTATTTGCATGTAGAATTTATAGTGACGAAATAAATTATAAAAAAAAAAAAAAAGTTTTATCTAGCTACGGGCTTTTTTTTTTGTCTCCACAGCAGCACCTTCTGGGGTAGCAGGGTGCTTCCCAGTCAACGCACGAGATCAATATGATATTAATATGATATCAAAAATTTATCATGCTGCCAGATCAAATAATTATCTCAATATGATATCATATAGATGTCATAACCATAGATAAATAAATTCAAGTATGGTTGTAATATCATCATGAGATCAAATTGAGATTACGACTTGATATCAAGCCATGAAAAATTTTTGATATCTAAATTACATTATATTGATATTAAAATTTGAAAAAACACCACAGATTCGAGTTAAAAACGTAATCTTAATATGATCTCATGGTAGGGCTTGGCAAAAACCAGAAAATTTCAAAAAATCGGTTTTCGGTTTTTTTAATTGTTAAACCGGATAATCGGTTTTACACTGGTTTTTTATTATAAAAGCGAATTTTTATTATTGCCGTATAAATCCAATGTAACAAACAGGATTGATTTACTGGAATTAGATCTGTAAACTAAAAGAAAATATTTTATACTTAAGAAAGTTTTTCATTCTTATAATAAAAAATTTAATTTTTTTCATTAAATATTAAAAGTTAATTTTTATTTATTTATTATTTTTAATTCTTTTTTATGCATTATTAATTTGATTCGAATCTAATGAACTTGAATTATTTTTTTTTGTGTCTCTTTTTTCTATTCCAATCCTTTTTTTTTGTCTGACAACTCAATAACTTTTTTTTTTAAATACTTTTAATAACTGAATATACTACTTTTAACTAAAGTTTATGCATGTGATCTGTTTACAAAAGTATAATGTAAAAATATATTACGATTTATGATATTTAAAGTAATACAAAAAGGAAAAATTACAAAATCAAATTAGTTGACAAAAAATATGATATTTTTATTTTTTTCAGTTTACAATGATAGTTGCGATACAAAATAACATAAAAGTCTTGGAAAAAAATAAACAATTCAGCGTACTAACAACATAAAGCTAAGTTTCGAAAAGAAGATCATAAAGATCATAGCATCAGAATCTTAAAAGTTAAACATATTTATGTATAGTATATAGATATATTGAAGATTTTACATAATGCAAAGATACAACATACAAACATTTTAATATATAATATCCTGAAGATTTAACAAATACTTTTTACATACGTTTTTAGTAGAATTTAGAATGCTGCACATAAAAAAAATATTTTAAGAATTAGTTTTAAATACAGGAAGTGTAAAAGAAGGACCAAAATTTGGTAGTATTTTGTTTCAAAGATGAGGTGCAAGATTTTGAGATTTAACAATCTCAAATTAAAATATTTAAACAACAAACAAAGTGATATGAATACCACTAGCTTATTTTGAACCTGATAATCCCACATCATAAGTTATATTAATAATTGTACAAGCAATAATTTAACTTTTAACTGATTTTAAGAGCACAGTTTTAATTTAAACTTTATGTTCAATCCTTTAACGTTATTTTTCATCTTTCTATCCATTTTTTTTAACTAATTAAAATTTGAATTTATTTAATTTTTCTATTTTCTTATCAGTTAAGTTGACAATTACAAATTATTTTTATTCAGTGAATACTTGTGTTTTTATAGTGTCTAAAATGTTATTGTTACTAATAAGTTATTTTGCAATATTTAATTTTTGAATCTTTATTAGTATTGAAAGTTACTTACTGCAGTAATTTTATGCAGTAATTATATGTTTAGAGAACATGGGTAACTAGAGTAACCATATGTTTAGTGAACATGGATTCAGTTGCGTAAGTATCCTTTAACGTTGACAGGAAAAATATATAACTTTTACTTTCTACTGAACAAACTCAAGAAAAAAATACTTGAAAATAGGGGAAAATCAGGGAAAATGGATTTTCAAAACTGCCATGAACCCTGTGTATGGAGTGCACTATATAATCTATATTATTATTTTTGGAAATTAAGTTTTTTAATTTGATAATTATTGCCATATTAATTTATACTTTTACACGTAAAACATTATTTTTAACATACATAAAAACAATTATATATTGATAATAAAGGTGTTAAGTTCTTATAATAAATGTGTTTTATTAAATGTATATCAAAACGTGTGTGTCTTAGTTTAAACTGTGTTCATTAATTTGGTTTATACGAAATCAATCCCTAGGTACAATGTGCTGACTTAGAAACAAGGTATTGGAAATATATTTCAAGAAAACTAATCAAAATATTGAATTTCAGTTATAAACTCAACGCAAAGACAAAATCTAAATTTAGAATCCTAGATTAAATCGATAAACCAAAGATAAAGTTTGAATCTCGTATTAACTTGATTCTGTTGAAAAGTGTGTAGTTTGCTGAAGAACAGTTTCAAATATGTTTTAAATATAATTTATACATGTTATAAATTTAAAATATTTATAAACAAAATTCTTTTGGTGTTTTTGATTTAAGAACACTTTCAAATTTGTTTTAAAATTTTTTTTTTGCACATTATAAGTTTATTATAATTATAAACATATATATATATATATACATATATATATATATATATATATATATATATATATATATATATATATATATATATATATATATATATATATATATATATATATATATATGAAGTTGCTGTAATATTTTATATATACAGTGGTGTTGCAATATTTGAATAAAAAAGTTGAGTATAAAAAAGACAATTTATTTCTTATGAGAATATCAAAATATGATATCAAATTTTAAGGTCGGAATGACATCAATGTGTAATTTCATTTTGACATAATCATGATACCATGAACTTCTCTTAATATGATATCTCATTAAAAGTACAGGTAGATATCAATTTTTGATATCTTAAGGTTCTCATATTATGATATCAAATTTGAGCTCAAATTGATAAAACCGTGTGATTTCATTTTGTTATCATATTGATCTCATAAACATATCATGCTATGATACCATAGATATCCCAGTATGAGATCAATATGATATAGTTATGATATCAAATGGCTGACTGCGTTATTCACAACTTTTTTGTAACTCTTGCGTTGCTGAGCTAAAGTTACGCAAATTATTTTTTGCGTAACTATTTGGTATTCACTTTTTTTTCGCAGCATTTGCGTAAAGTTAAGGTTGCGCATGCGTTAGACAAAACTTAGGCAAAAACTTATGCACAATTTGATGCAATATTTTATAACTATTTGTATAAAAGAAGTAGTTGGTATTACTAAACCCTTTTTTATTAAGACATACATATCAAAATAAACGAAAAGTTAATGCAACTTTTTTAAGAGGTAGGGCTTTCTATCAGTCTTTCAATCTATTTTAAATATCTATTAGAAATATAATCAATAATCAAAAATTAGAAAAATTTACCAAATAAGAGTTGGTTGGTTTTTTAAATAAAGATATTAATAAATAAAGATATTAAAAAAATATTAATAAATAAAGATATTAAAAACAAAATGCTTCGCATCTATTATTGTGAATATAAACATTACAAGCACTTAATAAGAACTAATTGGGGCATATTTACCCAAACCCAAATGGGTAATATAAATTGTATTATCCTGAGCTTATATAAGATAACTATTTGGCCTCCTGTATGATGCCATCAGTAAATGCCCATTGGTTTTATTTAATCACTCAAATAACACTACAGTTATTTTAATATTATAATTTTTGAATTGTTTATTTGATTATCTGAATAGTTAAAAAATCAATTATTTTTAGCCTCTGCTTTTTCCTTTTTCTTTCTTAGAAGTGATGAACCTAGAGTTTATTTTTGAGACACCTTTTTAATGTGGCGAATTATAAAACCCTAACCTGCCGCAAACATTTTTTGTAAACATCACTGGTTTAATGAATTTGCTAAAATATAGAAAACTAGCATTTAAAAAAAACTTTTTTTTTTCTATTTTTAATATAAAAAGAAAAATATAAAAATAAAAAAAATTAATATTTTTAGGCATTATTTAGCGCCTATAACGGTCCTATTGTACCAAAAAACGGCCTGGGTTCACCCCTTCTCAGATCATGCAACTTGTCTAGTATAACTTCAGGAAGTTAAAACAAAGTACTTTAGTTTAGCATAAAATTTCACATTCATAAAATAATAGAAGTGCTAAACTAAAGTATTTTGTTTTAACTTCTTGTTTTAACACTCTCACACACTAGAGTATAAAAAAACATCATAATAATCGTCAAATTTTCTTTTCAGTGGTCTCGATTTATCACATAATTGACTTGAATCAGCAACACCTTTATTTGTTATATGGAATGACAGATTCATTAAATAAAGAAATTGCTTCAATAAGTTCAAGAAATACTATTGATTGCATTCTAGTTAATTTATAAACAAAAATAAACTAAAACTATAAACAAAATTCAAATTATCAGAAATATAAGGAACATTTTGAAAATAAAAACAAAAGTTCAACAACTTTTCCATAACATGTTATGAAAAATACATTATTGTTCTGTGACTATCTAGTCGATATAAATTTACATTTGTAACTTCTATGCTTACAGTTTCAATTGTATTAACATAATTAATAAAAGTTGAATTTGAATTTAAATCCACTTGTTTTTTATTAGTTTTTTTCAGTGATATATCTGATTGAGAATTTATGATACCATTTTTGCACGAATAAAAACATTCTTATATTTGATATAAAAAGTTTGACTCATTGACAAAGCAAGTATTGATTAAATCAGAACAACAAATATTGTAGTAGGTTTTCAAGACACCAAAAACAGTACAATCTAATAGCTACAATCAATGTGAACAATTTGCTTTCATCTCAAGAATTGTAATACTATTTTCAACAGCAACAGATAACAATTCTACTGATTTGTATCAAGGAATTTTTTATGGAACTCCTGTTCTTTGTAATAATAAACTACAACAATGAGATTTTATATAAAAATACAAAATAAAATATCTACCAAAACAATTTAAACTATCATAGAATACGTTTATTATTTGCAAATAAGTGTATTTTTAACAAAGAAATTCGGCTTTAAAAAACAATGCTCTTTTTTTTAATAATTTAAATTATCCATAGATATTATTATCTCTTGATAATTGAAATAACTTACAACAGAGCAATATTATTCCAAATAATCTTAATACTGTTAATACCTCTGCATAACTAAAATTATCAAAAAACATAGCATCATTATTCAAAGTAAGTTTAATATTTATGTTATAATATTTTGTTTTATCAATAGCCTGATTACTCAGAGATAATTCTAAAGTTTTGTTTTGAAATAGCCTTGTTCTCATTTATAAATAAATAAAAAATAGATATTTGAAAAACTTATGAATAATATGCATATTTTTGTGAATATTGTATATATATCAGCACACATATTTTCCCTCACTTGCACACAGAGAGACTCTCTCTCGCTTTATACTAGTTATGCAAGTTAAAATATATGCTTCAAAAATATTATTGTATTTATTTTTGTATAGTATAGATAGTATAGTATAGATACAACCATAAGTTAACACAGTATAACTACATGATACATTATATAGTTTTGAAGTATGACAATAACTAGTTATTAAGTTAACTTATTTAATAAGTAATTGGCATACTAAAAATCTATATGATATATCAATACTATGGTCACGCAAACTTTACGCAAATTTGGACTTACGAAAGAGTTGTCAATCCGCACCCAGGGCTGTCTTGTTAAGTTTTTTCTTCATTAAGTTTTAGACAACTTTTTTTCAGACCATCCGCAGCTTATTAGGACTAATTACCAGAGCACATTAATAACATAAGTGTCTCAATCATCATACTTACGCAATAAATTTCTCCCGGAAATGTTTTTTTATTTTTTTATTTTGATGTCTCATAAAATTTTAGTTTTCTTAAAATCTTTTATTTTGTGAAAGTGTATAATATTGTTTCGTTACATCAAGGACGTATTAATGAATCTATTAATACGTCTTTGGTTATATATGTTTGTATATAATCTTTACAAAACTTCAAAATTTTTTTGTATCTTAAAATATTCGAAAAAAAAAGTTCTACCATTGGAAGGAATCAAACCTCGGCTACCTTTTTCAGAAGCACAGCGCCTTATCCACTCGGCCAGACTGGCTCATTCTCAAGCGAAAATTTTTAAAATAAGGTAATGATTTTTTTAAGGAAAAAATGTTATAGATCAAAATTAAGGAGAGCTTGACGTAATGCAATTTTCAAGTTAAAATCAAACTGTAAAACTTGATAAATGTTTTAGCATGTTTTAACAAATGTTTTAACATTACTTAAATTAGAGTTTAGGTACGTTAGATATTTGGATACGCGTTCGTTCACGTTTTTTTTTATAAAACAAAGTGCTGCGAATCTTTCTCGCTATTACTTTGGTTGCAATGGCTGCCAATGGTACCGTGTATACTCAAAAGCGCACTATTAAGTTCAGCAATAATATATAATAGATTATTATATCTAAGTAAATAGTAATAATATTTGCATAAAAGATAACTAATAAATTAATTGGAAAAATAAAATAAAAGTTTTGTTAATCTTATAATTAATCTCTTCACTCATTTTATCTAAAAAAAGTAATTTAAAACAAAAATAAAAAGTTTACGAAAAATTTTTATTTTGTTTAAGTTAAAGTTTTAGTGTTTTAGTTTTAGTAAAGAGTTCGATTTTGTTGCATCCCCTAGCACCCGCAAAAACTTCAGCCACTTTAAAGTCAACTTAAGCCACCTTAAGAAAAATAGATAGAAAAAGTGGGCCCAAAAATAGACTGCCTGGGCCCCATT